GTTGTTATCATCATATTGTTATTTTGGTTTCTGATAAGGAGGAGATTGAAATCCAATCTCTCAAACGATAAACAGCATGCAGCACGAAGTTCCTTACTTCCTGCATAAGCAACTTGTAGTCAACTTGTACAAGTTACCTCTGTGACATAGCAAAATAGTCAAAATACACTCTTACCTGTTCTTCACTGATCAATGTTTAGCATTCAAAACAGTCTCGATATAGAATTTACAAATCTTAGACATACTGTGTAACAGATATTTTTGTGAACAATTTCCAAGTGTATCACTTAACCAGTAAACCTGGATTGTTAATTTAATTATTCTCATTTTATGGTTGAATTGTATGATTTCGATTTTACCCAATCTTCTACTGATTACATCTACAATTAGGACCTCAGTAATAAAACATTTGAAGTTTGAACATTAACTAGAAAGCTTATCATAACATGCAATGCTACAATTAAGAATGTAACAAATAACCGAAAGAAAAGGAGAGTCAATAAAACATTTGAAGTTTGAACATTAACTAGAAAGCTTATCATAACATGCAATGCTACAATTAAGAATGTAACAAATAACCGAAAGAAAAGGAGAGTCAATAGCCTGGGAGATCCGGTGCTCTGGAGTGTCGTAAGATCCTAGACTCTTTGTCAGTTTATATAGAGTTTATGGTGGTTTCTAGAGCCGCCAATACTACTGCTCATAGAATGGCGAGTAAAGTACCGTTTTTGTCTCTCCGTGAATTAGAGTCTTTCAGACTTTATTGAGTGGCGTCACTAGGATGTCATTTATAGGGGTTTCCCGGGTAGTTTTGTTTGTATAACTCTTGTCATCTCTTGATATCACGTGGAAATAATAAAAAATTATCAAGACAAAAACTACAAAGATAATTAGAAAGAAGAAAATCTTTATTATTTCCATAAGCTTATGGCTCTCAATTATTATTTTTTATTTGACAAATTGAAAATAAATAAAGACTAATTAATTTTCCATGACCTATTCTGATTTGAGCTAACTGTTTGAAAGATAATAGTTTCTTTTGATTAAAAAAAATCTCGTAAACAATTGTTTTATATAGATTTACTCTGGTGCCTTCTCTGGGTACAACCGCCGTCACGGTGAGAAGGTAGTCCTTGCCGCCGACCACGTTTTCGAATTCGCCTCTCTCCACCTTCAAGAGTTCCAATGGGGGACGACCGGAAACTTGTTCATTGTAAGCCTGCACGGCGAATCGAGCAATCTCCTTGATGTGCTCGTCGTTCAAGTTTCTCATCCATTGCCAGTGCGGAGCCAGGATTTCGAGACCCGGGGAGGGAGGGGGGGGGGGCGAAAATAATTAAATAAAAAATATGTTGCCTAGGTGGATCGAAAATAATTAAATAATAAATAAAGACTACTTAATTTTCCATGACCTTTTCTGATTTGAGCTAACTGTTTGAAAGATAATAGTTTCTTTTGATTAAAAAAATTCTCGTAAACAATTGTTTTATATAGATTTACTCTGGTGCCTTCTCTGGGTACAACCGTCGTCACAGTGAGCAGGTAGTCGTTGCCGACGGTCACATTTTCGAATTCGTCTCTCTCCACCTTCAAGAGTTCCAGTGGGGGACGACCGGAAACTTGTTCATTGTAAGCCTGCACGGCAAATCGAGCAATCTCCTTGATGTGCTCGTCGTTCAAGTTTCTGATCCGTTGCCAGTGCGGAGCCAGGATTTCGAGACCCGGGGGGGGGGGGGGGGGGGGGGCGAAAATAATTAAACAAAAAATATGTTGCCTAGGTGGATCGAACCCGTGTGCTTTAAAACACAGGTCCAACTTGGTTTCTATTAGGCCAAATTACTATTACATGATAAAACTAACATAACAAGTTAAACTTATAAAATTTGTACTAAATATATTTAAGATCATAAGGGCCGGGACCAATCTTGAGGGGCCCGGGGCCCACCCTATGTTAAACGTAGCTCCGCCCCTGGTTGCCACCAACCCCATGTCAAAGTAGTGCTGGACAAGATGGCTAGAAAGGTAGTCATGGTAACGAGAAATGTAACATTCTTCATCTTCTTCGTAGAGTGGTTGCTTAATTAATTATTTTTTTCTCAAGATTTTTTTTTTTTGGTTATTGGTGTGTTTGGATGTGAGGGGAAGTGTAATTGTGGTGTGTGCATTTATAGGCTACAAGACATGATTATGATGATAATTTATTTTTGAATTAGGTAACAAATTCATTGCTATTAATGCTTGGCATCTTTTTATTCGCTCGTATGTTTACTTAGACTATTGACTATCCATTTCTATCGTTGTTCATTACATTCTTCGTTACAAACCTTACATATACAATGTGATAAGGTTTCTAGTTAACAGCTTCACATTAATATGTTTCAATATCTAAGTTCCCAATTACATATGTGATTAATCGAAGATTGCGTAATATCGAAATCATATTGCGCGGTAGCCTCGTTCGGTGTGAACGAGACTAATCCACGAAAGGCTCACTCAAGGAGCCTTCGATGATGTTGTTATTAGGTTTTGTGAAACAACCAACACACTTACACACACAGCCGAACTCGGCCACCACAACACCTATATAACCCTTCACGTCTATCTCCTAGGGTTATATGGTTAATTACCAAACACTACCCATACTTCTATAACATGAACACTATCGAGTATAACACTGCACTCGATACACAACAATGTCCTACAACACTCCCCCCTAAAGAGAAGGAGTGAATGTCGTGAAGTCCGAGCTTGCCACTAAGAACTGCGAACTGCTCCGCTCCTAACCCCTTTGTGAATATGTCGGCTGAAATCTGACTTTAGGCAAGACTCTAGGGATTGAAAAGATGAACAAGAAAGGTAAAGTTACAGAACAGAGAAGAAGAGGGCAAAGTGAAGAAGAAAGAATTCCTTAACCTTTCCTAGCTTGTCGTCTCTTTCTAACTGAACAAAATAGGCTTTAATCAAGATATGAACCCAAGTAAATAAACATAAATTAAAGTAACACAACGTTGGGCCTTTTTAGCAACAAGCTTATAGCTCAACAGCCCAATATTCAATTCGTTCGATCTACAAAATGATTTGGAGCCAGAGACTACACTCTGTTCTATGCAACAAACCCAGAAAACAGAACATAAGAAGAAAACAGAGTATAGCACAGAAACGTAAATAGCAGCAACAATTATAAGATAGGCATAGAGAATTTTTAACGTGGTTCACCAATTAAGGGTTACTCCACGTCCCAGAACCAGTACCCACCGATTCTATGAGACTCTTTTTATTGTTTTTTATCTATCAAGTGAACAAAACACAAAAGCTGTAAAAAGACTCGATGAAAGGAATCGAACAGAAGATAGAAATCCCGGATCCCCAAACCAGACCCGTTACAACCTCAATCAATCAGAACCTATACCCCTGATTGATGAGCCCTTTGGTAAACCTCAAAGCCCTCGTTCACTTTGAATCCCCAAAAGTTGCACACACATAGACAGAGCGAGTAATATATGTATCATGGAGACATAGCCGTTGTAGCTGCTATAGATAGGGAATGAAAGTTCCATTAGCTGCTAAAATCATGCCTTCATTGGACGAATTTCCTTTTCTGGTTGCTTCCTTTTCTAACCTGGTTAAACATGGAATCTCGGTCATGCTTGAAATTCAATCATCGGATTTACTAAGTTGGGAATTCTACCAACAGGCAACCTGATTGGCTGTGTGAATCTTCTTTGGCGCAACTTCTCCCGAAGTCACACACTCATTAACGAAATGACAATCCATTTCCACTTGCTTCGTTCTTTCATGGAAGAGGAGTGGCGCTAGGAGTGGACACGCCGAGTTCACGAAGTAACCACCGTAACCATATAACTTCACTAACTATAACTGTCATTTCACGATATTCAGTCTCTGCTGAAGATCGAGCCACAACCTGCAGTTTCTTGGTCCTCCAGGAGATCGGACTATCACCCAGGCGAACGAAGTAACCAGTAATAGAATGTCTAGTTTGCAAATAACCTCCCCAATCCGCATCACAGTATGCATTCCAACGGAGATCTCCATCAGATTGCACGAACAAACCCTTCCCTGGCGCTTCTTTTACGGTCATCTCTAAAAACAAGTCTCCAAATCTCGTAGTGGTTTGAGATTAATTTATCAATACGAGGCCTTTTGAGAAGATACCTAGAAGCAAATTTGTGCGGGTTCAGTCAGAAGAGAACAATATCGTACTAATGTGGAGCTATCTGGTTCCTACAAGTGGTATAAGAGTTTGGTTAGGTTTCAGGTAAACATTTATCTGGCAGAGCAAGTGGAGATATGTTTCACCAACACGATTGATCCCATCAGTAGTAGTATGTAGTGGTATTTTGTGTATCTTGTAACGATCGACCTCAATTGTAAATGCATATATCAATAAATTCCATAGTTGTGTTTCTATATGACGATAAAGATGTCAAGGTTGACAAGTAGTCTGTAGGTTGAACTTTCCTAGAGAACATAAGGTGATCAACGGTCTAAATTCATTGGTTAACTCCAATTAACAGTTACTTGTGGTTAACACCAAGTCACCGTAACAAAGTCTTATTAATTATTATGTAGACAATAAAATCTTTTGATTTTATAATTAGGTTCTATTATCCCATTTTTATCGTGTATTCAATTTTACTCGTTCCTACATATATACATAATTAAAAATCTCGGGGAAGAAAAATATGAGTATTAGTTAAAGAATCTTATTATAACACAAAATATAACAAATAACCGAAAGGAAAGGAGAGTAAAAAAACTAAGTAAACAACAAAACAAAAAAAGAGATACAAACCAAGGATAATTGCAAAATTTTACCTATTTTGCATATAAATATTATTATTACAATCATATTACAAAGCCTATAAATTCACACCACAAATAGTCTTGCCTCACATCCAAACAGAGCAACAACACAAAATCTTGAAGATAATTAAGAATCAATTACTAAAAGGATGAGGCCAATTACCTTTCTTGTCGCTATGACCACTGTTGCTGTCATCTTGTCTACCACCAATGCGACATTTGGTGGATGGGAATGGGAGCCGATAAAGAACTTGAAGGATGAGCACGTCAAAGAGATTGCCGAGTACGCAGTGGAGGCTTACAATATGATATCTAATTCTTTCCCGATACAACTTGTAAAAATCGAGAAAGGAAAAATCCGATATGCTGGTGGCACGAACTACAAGCTCGTCGTGGCGGCGGTTGTACCGGAAACGGGAAACATGGTAAAACTATACGAAACCGTTGTCCATGAGAATATTTTTTATGCAAAGAAAGTTGTATATTTCAGACAGTTGATCAAATCAACACCGACCCCTAAAAGTTAGTACCTTTTAATTTGAAGTTTGTTAAATAAAATTATGAATAATAGATAGCCATAAGCTTATGGAAGTATACATTTTCCTCCCTTGCAGTTACATTCGTAGTTTTTATTCTAGTGATTGATATAGTACACCTATTGACTTTTTCTCCTTTGCATTCATTTGATCATTGATATTTAGGACATGCAAAATGGTAATTACAGTGTAGTGCAATCCCTTTTACCGTTCATGTATTCGAATGTTTAAAACTCTCAATATTAAGCGTTGATTAACCCACATGTTATAATGGACCTATGCAAACTTTAAATATGTGAATCCATTTCGTTTGAATGACATATAAGAAAGTGATATCTAATTCATAATTAACCTTCTCCATACCACTCGAATAATTGAGACGAATGAATTTATCACTCTTCTTTCCTCACTCGTTGGCTAGAAATAATCTTTGGTCAGAAAAGCAAAGAAAAAAATGGAAGGCTGTTATGAAGTTCATCGACTACCCTTAAATTCTGCCCATTCCAGTTATATATTCTATACGAAAGAGAGCAATCTTCAAAAGAATAAAGGACCTTTATTATTATGGATCATATATATGACCTATTATTTGGGCATATTTGGCGATTCGAAATCTATCTGCCGTTCTTATGATTTGAATAATCCATAAAATGGAAATAGTCTACCTATTAGAGAAGGTTCTTTTGACCTTGTAACCAATATTGTTTGGTCTTTGCTCATCTCTAAAAATAAGTCTTCAAATTTCGTAGTGGTTTGACAATAATGTATCAATACAAGGCCTTTTGAGAAGATACCCAGAAACAAATCCGTGCGAGGTTAGTAAAAATCGGACAATATCGTACTAAAGTGGAGCCATCTGGTTTAAACAAGTGGTATAAGTGTTTGGTTCGGTTCGGTTTCAGGTATGCATTTGTCTGGCAGAGCAAGTGAAGATATGTTTCACTTGAATGGTTGACTGCATCAATATTACTATGTAGTTGTATTTTGTGTGTCCTGTAACGATCGGCCTCAATTGAAAATGCATATATCAATAAATTTCTTGGTTGTGTTTCTGTATGACGATAAAGATGTCGAGGTTGACAACGTTAGTCTGTAGGTCGAACTTTCCTAGAGAACATAAAGTGATCAATGGTCTAAATTCATTTGTTAACTCCGAAAACCAGTTACTTGCAGTTAACACCAAGTCACCGTAACAAAGTCTTATATAAACACACATAAGTGAATAAAATCTTAAGTAAGCACAAAAAATCAATAAAGGATGAAAGCCGTTAATAGTAAATAAAATCTTACATGTTTTATTGATAAAACATCACTGTAATGTCATTGTCAAATCCGACCCCTTTAGCAATCTTGAATACGAACCCACAAAAGTGAACATTATATGACAAGAAAGTGCTTCTATTGTGGTCACCAATTTGCCATACTTATCAATAATCACACAAGTGATAGTGGGAAGGTGATTTCGAGGTGATCGTCATCCATATTTGGAAAGGTGTCCTAAAAAATTTCTTCCGGAAAGTCCGGTGCTCCGGGAGGATCGTCAAATCCTGACCACTTTGTCAGTTTGTATAGAGTTTAGGGTGGTTCCTACCCATGGAATGGCGCGTAAAGCATTGCTTTTGTCTCTCCCAGAATTAGAGTCTCTCGACTTTATTGGGTGGTTTCACTAGTAGGGGGTTCTTGGGTAGTTTTGTTTGTATAACTCTTGTCCTCCTGATATCACTCGAAGAAAAAAAAAATTACCAAGCCAAAAGACTACAGAGTTAACTAGAAAGAAAAAAAATCTATATTATTTCCATAAACTTATGGCTCTCAATTATTTTTTTTTATTTGACAAATTGAAAATAAAAGACTACTGAATTTTTCCATGAACCTAATCTGATTAGAGCAACTTCTTGAAAGATAATAGTTTCTTTTGATTACTAACATTCTCGTAAACAATTGTCTCATATAGATTTACTCTGCTGCCTTCTCTGGGCACAACCGCCGTCAATGTGAGCAGGTAGTCCTTGCCGCCGGCCACACCTTCAAATTGGCCGCTCTCCACCTTCAAGAGTTTCAGCGGTGGACGGCGGCCGGAAGCCTGTTCGTCGTAAGCCTGCACGGCGAATCCAGCAATCTCCTTGATGTGCTCGTCGTTCAAGTTCTTGATCGGTTGCCACGAACCCCATGAAGCTGTAGTGGTAGACAAGATGGCTAGAAAGGTAGTCATGGTGACGAGAAAGGTAATATTCTTCATCTTCTTAGTAGAGTGATTGCTTAATCAATTTTTTTTCTTCAAGATTTTAATTTTGGTGTGCTTCGATCTGAGGGAAAGTGTAATTGTGGCGTGTGCATTTTATAGGCTACAAGACATGATTATGATGATAATTTTAGTTTTAAATTAGGTAACAAATTCATTGCTATTAATGGTTAACATCTTTTTATTGACTTGTATGCTTACTTAGACTACTGACTCTCCTTTTCTATCGCGGTTATTCGCTACATTCTTTGTTTCAACATCACATATACAATGTGATAACGACTAATAAGGTTTCTAGTTAACAGCTTCACATTAATATGTTTCAATATCTAAGTTCCTAATTACAAATGTGATTAATTGAAGATTGCATAAAATCGAAATCATACAATTCAACGAGAATATTTAATTTACAATGTAATAATTAACTTTATATTATTATTTATTAATATATCGATACGAAGGCACAACTTATATTGTTCATTATGAAAATGTTGCTATTCTAATAGACTTAGTTTGAGAAAAACGAATAGTATACAACAACGAGATAACGATTTACGTGGTAGCCTTGTTCGGTGTGAATGGGACTAATCCACGTAAGGCTCACTCAAGGAGCCTTCGATACTGTTGTTATTAGGTTTTGTGAAACAACCAACACACTTACACACACAGCCGAACTCGGCCACCACAACACCTATATAACCCTTCACGTCCATCTCGTAGGGTTATATGGTTAATTACCAAACACTACTCATACTTCTATAACATGGACACTATCGAGTAGAACACTGCACTCAATACACAACAATGTCCTACAACACTACACCTAAAGCAAAGGAGTAAATATCGTGAAGTCCGAGCTTGCCACTAAGAACTATGAACTGCTCCGCTCCTAACCCCTTTGTGAATATGTTGGAAACCTGATTGGTTGTGTGAATCTTCTATGGCGCAACTTCTCCTGAAGTCACACACTCACGAACGAAGTGACAATCTATTTCCACGTCCTTCGTTCTTTCGTGACAGAGGAGTGGCTCTAGGAGTGGATACGCCGAGTTCACGAAGTAACCACCGTAACCATATAACTTCACTAAATGTAACGGTCATTTCACGATATTCAGTTTATTCTGAAGATTGACCCACAACCTGCAGTTTCTTGGTCCCCAGGAGATCAGACTATCACCCAGGCGAACGAAGTAACTAGTAGTAGAACGTCTAGTCTGCAAACAACCTCCCCAATCCGCATCACAGTATGCATTCAGACGGAGATCTCCATCAGATCACAGGAACAAACCCTTCCCTAGCGCTCCTTTTACGATCATCTCTAAAAACAAGTCTCCTAATTTCGTAGTGGTTTGAGATTAATGTATCAATACGAGGCCTTTTGAGAAGATACCTAGAAGCAAATTTGTGTGTGTTCAGTCAGATGAGAACAATATTGTACTAATGTGGAGCTATCTGGTTCCAACAAGTGGTATAAGGGTTTGGTTCGGTTTCAGGTAAACATTTCTCTGGCAGAGCAAGTGGAGATATGTTTCACCAACACGGTTGATCGCATTAGTAGTAGTATGTAGTGGTATTTTGTGTGTCTTGTAACGATCGACCTCAATTGAAAATGCATATATCAATAAATTTCGTAGTTGTGTTTCTGTATGAAGATAAATATGTCAAGGTTGAGAACGTTAGTCTGTAGGTTGAACTTTCCTAGAGAACATAAGGTGATCAACGATCTAAATTCATTGGTTTATTCTGAATAATAGTTACTTGCATAACACCAAGTCACCGTAACAAAGTCTTATTAATTATTATGTAGACAATAAAAATCTTTTGATTTTATAATTAGGTTCTATGATCCCATTTTTATCGTGTAATCAATTTTACTCGTTTCTACATATATACATAATTAAAAATCTCGGGGAAGAAAAATAGGAGTATTAGTTAAAGAATCTTATTATAACACAAAATATAACAAATAGCCGAAAGGAAAGGAGTCAAAAAGCTAAGTAAACAACAAAACAAAGAAAGAGATACAAACCAAGGATAATTGCAAACTTCTACCTATTTTGCATATAAATATTATTATTAAAATCATATTACAAAGCCTATAAATTCACACCACAAATAGTCTTGCCTCACATCCAAATAGAGCAACAACACAAAATCTTGAAGATAATTAAGAATCAATTACTAAAAGGATGAGGCCAATTACCTTTCTTGTCACTATGACCACGGTTGCTGTCATCTTGTCTACCACCAATGCGACATTTGGTGGATGGGAATGGGAGCCGATAAAGAACTTGAAGGATGAGCACGTCAAAGAGATTGCCGAGTACGCAGTGGAGGCTTACAATATGATATCTAATTCTTTCCCAATACAACTAGTGAAAGTCGAGAAAGGAAAAATCCGATATGCTGGTGGCACGAACTACAAGCTCGTCGTGGCGGCGGTTGTACCGGAAACGGGAAACATGGTAAAACTATACGAAACCGTTGTCCATGAGAATATTTTTTATGCAAAGAAAGTTGTATATTTCAGACAGTTGTTCAAATCAGCACCGACCCCTGAAAGTTAGTAGCTTTTAATTTTAAGTTTATTAAATAAAATTATGAATAATAGGTAGCCATAAGCTTATGGAAGTATACATTTGCCTCCCTTGCAGTTACATTCGTAGTTTTTATTCTAGTGATTGATATAGTACAACTATTGACTTCTTCTCCTTTTGCATTCATTTGATCATTGATATTTAGGACATGCAAAATGGTAATTACAGTGCATACCCTTTTACCGTTGAATCATGTGTTCAAATGTTTAAAACTCTCAGTATTAATCGTTGATTAACCCACATGTTATTATGGACCTATGCAAACTTCGAATCTGTGAATCTATTTCGTTTGAAGGATATATAAGAAAGTGATATCTAATTCATAATTAACCTTCTCCATACCACTCGAATAATTGAGTCGAACGAATTTATCACTCTTCTTTATTCAGTTGTTGGCTAGAAATAATCTTTGGTCAGAAAAGCAAAGAACAAAATGGAAGGTTGTTATGCAGTTCATCGACTACCCATAAATTCAGCCCATTCCAGTTATATATACTGTATGAAAGAGAGCAATCTTCAAAAGAATAAAGGACCTTTATTATTATGGGTCATATATATGACCTATTATTTGGGCATATCTGGCGATTCGAAATCTATCTGCCGTTCTTAAGATTTGAATAATCCATAAAATGGAAATTGTCTACCTATTAGAGAAGGTTCTTTTGACCTTGTAACCAATATTGTTTGGTCCTTGCTCATCTCTGAAAATAAGTCTCCAAATTTCGTAGTGGTTTGACAATAATGTATCAATACAAGGCCTTTTGAGAAGATACCTAGAAATAAATTCGTGCGAGTTTAGTCAAAATCGGACAATATCGTACTAAAGTGGAGCCATATGGTTTAAACAAGTGGTATAAGAGTTTGGTTCGGTTCGGTTTCAGGTATGCATTTGTCTGGCAGAGCAAGTGGAGATATGTTTCACTAGAATGGTTGACCTCATCAGTATTAGTATGTAGTGGTATCTTGTTTGTCTTGTAACGATCGGCCTCAATTAAAAATGTATATATCAATAAATTTCGTACTTTGTGTTACTGTATGACGATAAAGATGTCGAGCTTGACAACGTTAGTCTGTAGGTCGAACTTTCTTAGAGAACATAAGGCGATCAACGGTCTAAATTCATTTGTTAACTCCGAAAACCAGTTACTTGCAGTTAACACCAAGTCACCGTAACAAAGTCTTATATAAACCCACATAAGTGAATAAAATCTTAAGTAAGCACAAAAAATCAATAAAGGATGAAAACCGTTAATAGTAAATAATTATCTTACATGTTTTATTGATAAAACATCACTGTAATGTCATTGTCAAATCCAACCCCTCAAGCAATCTTGAATATGAACAAGAAAGTGCTTCCATTGTGGTCACCAATTTGCCATACTTATCAATAATCACACAAGTGAATAGTGATAGTGGGAAGGTGATTTTGAGGTGATCGTCATCCAGATTCGACAAGGTGTCCTAAAAAATTTCTTCCGGAAAGTCCGGTGCTCCGGGAGCATTGTCAAATCCTGACCACTTCTTCCGTTTGTATAGAGTTTAGGGTGGTTCCTGCTCCATGGAATGACACGTAAAGCATTACTTTTGTCTCTCCCAGAATTAGAGTCTCTCGACTTTATTGGGTGGTTTCACTAGTAGGGGGTTCTTGGGTAGTTTTGTTTGTATAACTCTTATCCTCCTGATATCACTCGAAGAAAAAAAAAATTTACCAACCCAAAAGACTACAAAGTTAACTAGAAAGAAAAAAAAAATCTATATTATTTCCATAAACTTATGGCTCTCAATTTTTTTTTATTGAAAAATTGAAAATAAAACACTACTAAATTTTCCATGAACCTAATCTGATTAGAGCAACTTCTTGAAAGATAATAGTTTCTTTTGATTACTAACATTCTCGTAAACAATTGTCTCATATAGATTTACTCTGCTGCCTTCTCTGGGCACAACCGCCGTCAATGTGAGCAGGTAGTCCTTGCCGCCGGCCACACCTTCAAATTGGCCGCTCTCCACCTTCAAGAGTTTCAGCGGTGGACGGCGGCCGGAAGCCTGTTCGTCGTAAGCCTGCACGGCGAATCCAGCAATCTCCTTGATGTGCTCGTCGTTCAAGTTCTTGATCGGTTGCCACGAACCCCATGAAGCTGTAGTGGTAGACAAGATGGCTAGAAAGGTAGTCATGGTGACGAGAAAGGTAATATTCTTCATCTTCTTAGTAGAGTGATTGCTTAATCAATTTTTTTTCTTCAAGATTTTAATTTTGGTGTGCTTCGATCTGAGGGAAAGTGTAATTGTGGCGTGTGCATTTTATAGGCTACAAGACATGATTATGATGATAATTTTAGTTTTTGAATTAGGTAACAAATTCATTGCTATTAATGGTTAACATCTTTTTCTTCGCTTGTATGTTTACTTAAACTATTGACTCTCCTTTTCTATCACGGTTATTCGCTACATTCTTTGTTTCAATATACAATGTGATAACGACTAATAAGGTTTCTAGTTAACAGCTTCACATTAATATGTTTCAATATCTAAGTTCCTAATTACAAACGTGATTAATCGAAGATTGCATAAAATCGAAATCATACAATTCAACGAGAATATTTAATTTACAATGTAATACTTAACTCTATATCATTATTTATTAATATATAAATACCAAGGGACAACTAATAGTGTTCATTATGAGATTGTTGCTATTCTAATAGACTTAGTTTGAGAAAAACAAATAGTAAACAACAACGAGACAACGATTTACGTGGTAGCCTCGTTCGATGTGAACGAGACTAATCCACGGAAGGCTCACTCAAGGAGCCTTCGATACTGCTGTTATTAGTTTTTGTGAAACAACCAACACACTTACACACACAGCCAAACTCGGCCACCACCCATACTTCTATAACATTGACACTATCGAGTATAACACTGCACTAGATACACAACAGTGTCCCACAACACTCCCCCTAAAGCGAAGGAGTGAATGTCGTGAAGTCCGAGCTTGCCAATGAGAACTACGAACTGCTCCGCTCCTCACCCCTTTGTGAATATATTGGTAACCTGATACTTAGTTGTGTGAATCTTCTGTGGCGCAACTTCTCCCGAAGTCACACACTCACGAACGAAGTGACAATCCATTTCCACGTGCTTAGTTCTTTCAGGGAAGAGGAGTGGCTCTAGGAGTGGACACGCCAAGTTCACGGAGTAACCACCATAACCATATAACTTCACTAATTGTAACCACCATTGCACGATATTCAGCCTCTGCTGAAGATCGAGCCACAACATGATGTTTCTTGGTCTGCCAGGAGATCAGACTATCACCCAGGTGAATGAAGTAACCAGTTGTAGAACGTCTAGTCTGCAAACAATCTCCCCAATCCGCATCACAGTATGCATTCAGACATAGATCTCCATCAGATCGCAAGAACAAACCCTTCCCCGACGCTCCTTTTACAGTCATCTCTAAAAATAAGTCTCCAAATTTCGCAGTGGTTTGAGATTAATGTATCAATACGAGGCCTTTTGAGAAGATACCTAGAAGCAAATTTGTGCGAGTTTAGTCAAAAGCGGATAATATCGTACTAATGTGGAGCCATCTACTTTCGGCAAGTAGTATAAGAGTTTGGTTTGGTTCGGTTCCAGGTAAACATTTCTCTTATCGCATCAGTAGTAGTATGTAGTAGTAGTTTGTGTGTCTTGTAAGTTGTAACGATCGACCTCAATTGAAAATGCATATATCAATAAATATCGTAGTTGCACGTGTTTCTGTATGATGATAAAGATGTCAAGGTTGACAACATTAGTATGTAGGTCGAACTTTCCTATAAAACATAAGGTGATCAACTGTCTAAATTCATTGGTTAACTCCAAATAACAGTTACTTGTAGTTAACACCAAGTCATCGTAACAAAGTCTTATTAATTATTATGTAGATAATAAAATCTTTTGATTTTATAATTATGTTCTATGATCCCATTTTTATCGTGTATTCAATTTTACTCGTTCCTACATATATACATAATTAAAAATCTTGGGGAAGAAAAAATAGGAGAATTAGTTAAAGATTATTATTATAACACAAAATATAACAAATAGCCGAAAGGAAAGGAGAGTCAAAAGGCTATGTAAACAACAAAACGCAAAAAGAGATACAAACCAAGGATACCTATTTTGTATGTAAATATTATTATTACAATCATATTACAAAGCCTATAAATTTACACCACACATAGTCTTGCCTCACATCCAAACAAAGCAACAACACAAAATCTTGAAGATAATTAAGAATCAATTGCTAAAAGGATGAGGCAAATTACCTTTCTTGTTGCTATGACTACTGTTGTTGTCATCTTGTCTACCGTCAATGCAACCATTGGTGGATGGGAATGGGAGCCAATAAAGAACTTGAAGGATGAGCACGTCCAAGAGATTGCCGAGTACGCAGTGCAGGCTTACAATATGATATCTAATTCTTTCCCGATACAACTCGTGAAAGTTGAGAAAGGAAAAATCCGATATGCAGGTGGCACGAACTACAAGCTCGTCGTGGCTGCGGTTGTACCGGAAACGGGAAACATGGTAAAACTATACGAAACCATTGTTCGCGAGAATATTTTTAATGCAAAGAAAGTTGTATATTTCAGACAGTTGTTCAAATCAGCACCGACCATTAAAAATTAGTAGCTTTTAGTTTTAAGTCTGTCAAATAAAATTATTAATAATGGATAGCCATAAGCTTATGGAAGTATACATTTGCCCCCCTTGCAGTTAAATTAGTAGTTTTATTTCTGTGATTGATATAGCCCAATTATTGACTTATTCTCTTTTGCATTTATTTGATAATTGATATTTAGGACAAAATGGTAATTACAGTGCAATCCCTTATACCGTCGAATCATGTTTGTTCGTTGTTAGGCTGTGATTCAATTCACAGACTTGAAGTTAACTAAGGAAACCTTGACCAACGAAAATGGTGGAATCCGATCCCTTGATAAATCAAAAGATAAAGAAATAGTGCCGAGTCATTGGGATCAATTGCTTTATAACATAATATCAGTGTTGGTATGACTAAGTAATCGTGTGTTCAAATCTCAACGACTAAATGTTGATTAAACCACGACTTACGGTGGATCGGTGTAAATTTCAAGTCCGTCAATTATCTTTCGTTTTAAGGAGATATATAAGAAAATGGTATATAATCTATAATTAAACTTCTTCCTACAACTAGAATTATCGAGACAGGTTATCACTCTTCTTCCTGACTTGTTGGGTATCTTTGGTCAGAAATGCAAAGAACAAAATGTAGGGTTGTTATGCGGTTCATCGACTACCCTTAATTCTGCCCATTCTAGCTATATATTCTGTACAAAAGAGAGTGACCTTGAAAAGAATAAAGGGCCATTATTATTATGGGTCATATATATGATCATTCAACACGAAATAGCAAGAAAATTTCCACTTCGAACGGTTCCAACCATCTGAGACCCTACCTAAGGTAAGCTTTTCTGAGTTGATAAACTATTCAAGTTATGGGTAGATATATATGACCTATATGTATTCAATACGTGGTCTTTTGAGAAGATACCCAACAACAAATTAGTTATCTAGTTTCGTGGTATCAGAGTTTGATTCGGATTTAGGGCGGTAGACTTCAGAGTGGACACTCATTCAGTGACGGATCAAGATAATTATTGGGGAGATTGCACAAAATTCGTGATCCTCATTTCAAGAGAGGATTGTAATAGTAGAATCAAGGTACAACATAAAAAAATATAAGAAAAATTAAATAGAAGTCCACACAACTTTGTGCATAGTGCAAAAAAAGTCGTCATTTATCTTTGCTTGTGTATTTTCCTGAAATTAATCCATAACCAAGTCATTCCAGGCTTTGCTTCTTCTGCTTGTGAATTGGGGACAGTCAAAACCTTATCCTGAACTCTTCTTCTTGTTCAATTCTTATCCTTCACTTATAAGTTTCTTCATCACTCAGATTCCTTCCAATCCTCATTTTCTTCATCAGTTATTAAGCTGGCCCAAAGAGATGTGAGAAATGTAGAATTGAATATCGATGATGTTGCAAGTTACCATTATTAAATCCCTTTGAAATGCAATTAACGATTTCAAGCTCAGGATTGGGGTAATCGATTATAACAAAACAAAGATAACGATCAACAAGAAAGTAAATAATATGGAAATTTACGTGGTACAACTACACAATGTGTGTTGGTTAGTCCACGGGCACGGAGAGAGCCAGTTTTACTATGCTAAAGGAGATTGATCCATCGATACAGGATTATAGAGAAGTACGAGAAGTATTTATCGTGCGTCCAGTCGACGGCAGATCATCCGATTCAAGTCACATTAACAAACCAATTCATAACGGACTTTTGGATTGATTTGTTGAACGATTCATTGATTATGAAACATGCATAATAAATTCGAGGAAATGTACCTAGCACTCGATTCCTAAGTAGGGTTTTAAGATCGTTCGAGGATTCGAACCCACTTGGAAAGCATGATTCAGATGATGTAAGAAAGTGGTTAAGATCAATACATGGACCTCTTCCAAGTCCCAACAATTCGAATTGTTGGAACCAACTAATTCTTGACATGGTATTAGAGTTGGTTTGATCGCAAGATCACGTATTTAAAGTCCTCATAACCCCAATATTAATCATTACCTCAGCGCACATGATATGATGAATCTCTGCAAACTTCAAGTTTATGGATTTGTTTTTCCTGAGAAGGGGTGTAAGAAATAAAGAAAATAGGGAATTTTGCACGAGAAAGGTGGGAAAATATATAAGGAAAATGGAGGGAAATTAGCAATGTTGTCAGAACCGAACCGGAGCATGACCCGGTAATGCGAACGGCTCGCACTTTAGTGGTCCAACCGACAATAGACCGTTTAAAAACCGTTAGAGAACCGGTAACTGATAAAAATTATTAGTATAAATAGTGGACATTTCTTAATCAGAGCTCATCTCTTTCCTTCGAAATTGTGAAATGGAAATAATGATTCAGTTTGAGAGCCCGACGTTTTTTGTTTATTTCAATTTTCTGCAATTTTTTTAATTAAATTTAGTGGTTGTATGGCTCGATTGGCTCGAATGATTAACCGCCTCGGCCGCTCGCCAACCGCTACATAAAACCGGAGCGACTTTTAGACCATTTCAAGCCGATTTTGTGACCAGAGAACAGCTTTACCGGTCGGGCCGAGCGGCTAGATTCGACTTTAATAACACTGGAAATTAGATTCCGTATACCTGTCATTTCATTTGTCACAAAAGGCTGGAAGAAGAAAACGATATTTTATTCGGTGCCGACTCGTTTTGTGGTCGGTCTATAATTACACAGAGCCCAGCCCACCACTTGGCGCCGTTGACAGTTAATTTTCTCGCCACAATTTCCCCCATTTTCTCGAGAAAATCCAACCTCCTAGCAGCTTTCCCGTCACAACGGTTGCCCAGTCCGCGTCGCCAAACAAAAACAAATGAGATTCTCCCCTACGTGGCTTTCCATGATTGGTCAGTCGTTACCTCCGTGCGTCACCGTCTCACAGTTGTACCGGACACGCAATCCGAGACGATGGAATTACGCGGGCAGTTCGCTGATCTACTTATTGAGCAAACCCAGCCGAGCGTCGAGGTAGTAAATTTCTCCCTTTCGCCTTCAAAGATTGAAGCTTTACTCCGTCTAATTGAAAGATTCCCCTGTTTCTCCACTACCCAGATTCCCAAATTTCAATTTTTGTAAAAAGATCCAATTTGGGGGGGTTTTCGTGCTGTAAATTCGGAACAATCTGCCGGCAGATCTTTACTGGGTCATCTCCATTTCACTTCTTCGTTTCTTGTTTCTGTTCTTGGGGTTTTTTCTGTCTAGAAATCTCTGTAGCTGTGAGTTACTCGATCAAATGGCAATCAAGACAAATGGGTTCATCGATGGGATCTTCCCCGAGGAGCTGAGGAGAGTGCTGCAGTCTCTGGCCATGGAATGGGGAGATGTGGTGGAAGACATGAAGGCCTTGCAGGTGATACCGATGAAAGGTGCGATGACGAATGAGGTTTACCAGGTGAACTGGCCGACGAAGGGAGGAGGGGAAGGAATCAACAGGAAGCTGTTGATTCGAATCTATGGCGAAGGGGTTGATCTGTTCTTCAATAGGGATGATGAAGTCAGGACGTTTGAGTGTATGTCGAACCATGGTCAAGGCCCTAGGCTTCTTGGCCGGTTCCCTGAAGGCAGGGTTGAGGAGTTTATCCATGCTAGGGTAAGGCTAATTATGATCAGAATTGAACACTGTTCTTTTCACCATTCAATGGTTCAAATCCCTAATTGAATCATTCAGTTGACTTTTTTTTGCTGATTCCCCCAATTTGGGATTTTGCAGACACTTTCAGCTGCTGATTTAAGGGACCCTGAGATTTCTGCTCTGATAGCAGCAAAGATGAGGGAGTTTCACAATCTGGAGATGCCTGGCTCAAAGACTGTGTCAGTTTGGAACAAAATGAGGTACTGAAATGTTAAGAAAAATAGCAGTTTGAGGGGATCAGGACTGTTCCTTTCTTTGGTTTTGGTTTGACTAACTTGTGGTTCTGTTGGACTCTTTCTTTTCAAGGGATTTGCTGGGTGAGGCTAAAAGTTTGTGCACTGTGAGAGATGCTAAAGAGTTTCGCTTGGATGTTTTCGAAGACGAGATCAATATGCTGGAGAAGGAGATCTCGAAAGGGCGCCATGAGACTGGGTTCTGTCACAATGATCTGCAATATGGCAATGTAATGATCGATGAAGAAACCAAGGCTATCACTTTGATTGTAAGTTCATTTCAGTAACTTTCTTTCTCTCGTCACTTGTTCATCACTTTACGTTGCTGTTGTGTTTTAAGCTATGATTTATCTTCGTTTCATAACACCATATATAGACCATATCTGTGTAATTGATCTCTAACTTTAAGAAGTAAGAGATTTGTACTTTAGCTGAATTTGCTGCTTATAGCCATATTTAACAGTCGCAAGTCTGCCATGTGCATAAATGTTTTGCTTGGGTACTGACCAGATCCCACTAAGAACTGTGTTAAGTATGCTATAATTCTGATTAGTCAACTCTTATTAAAGTGGCCTGTGTGCATATGCATGTTTGTGACTGGTGACGATTGTTTATCTTTTGTTAAAACTGTTGCAGCTCTGAAACTAATTTCCCACCCAAAACAATGAGAACCAAATGAAAAGGTCCTTCCTTTTCTGAGGTATTTATCCTTCTAGGAAAGGTTCGGTTTGGCTTCAAACTAAAGAGATGGATTTCAGTATATATGCTTGTTTCTTATAATCTCTTCACTCCAACCCTTTACAGGATTACGAGTATGCAAGCTACAATCACATTGCTTATGACCTGGCAAATCACTTCTGCGAAATGGCTGCGAATTACCATTCTGATACTCCACACATCCTGGATTTTGACAAATACCCAGGTAACTTACCTACCTTACTTCGATCCCTTTCCTTCTCGTTACCATGTCCCATCTGCTGTTGGTTGTTCTTCAATCCCAGCCCAGCTCATCATTTCTTGTATCAGGACACGAAGAGCGCTGCAGATTCGTACGTGCTTACCTTAGCTCGTCTGGCGAGAAGCCAACCGAAGATGAAGTGTTGCTGTTAGTTCAGGCTGTAGAAAACTATAAGCTAGCAAACCATCTATTCTGGGGGCTATGGGGCATAATTTCGGTACACACTATATTTTATGCTTCCAACTTGTTCAGCAAAGTCCAGTCCTTTGGATCCAGTAGTGACATTTGCTTTCCATGTTATCTGTTTGCAGAGATACGTGAATCAAATCGATTTCGACTATCTGGAGTACGCGAGGCAGAGATTGCAGCAGTACTGGAAGATCAAGCCAATGCTTCTTCTGGGTTCATCTGGGGTGGTGGTTAATTCATGTGATAGTAATGGATATGCAGGAGTTGGAACAAGGGAAGGGGCTTAAGTAGAAGGATTCTGTTTTTACTGGAAATTTGTATAAAAAGATGTGCGTTAGAGAGAGAGATAAGAGTTGGGATTCAATGGTTTTTTAACTCAATTATAGAGACAATCTACTTAACAGTGTAATATATAGTTGTTAATCCTTGGTAATAGTACGTTTGATGTTTCCAGAGACAATCTAATAGAGTAAATTGGAGAACACTAATTTGAAAATTTTGCAAAATACGGTAAAAATTTTGATAGCTTTTTTAAAAGAATAGGCCAAAATATGTTACGCATAGGCTTCAAAATCCATGACTAATATCAATGGAATAAATCCGTCAATAGATAACCTGCAAAATTAATAATAATATTATTGAAAAAAATTGGCTAAAATTTGTTATGGATGATAACCTTCAAAATCGATAAATAATAGCATTCCAAAAAATCAGCCAAAATATGTGTGGAAAGCCTTAAAATCGATGAATAATTGCATTCTAAAATATCGACCAAAATATGTGATAGATAGCCTTCAAAATTGGTGACTAATATCAATGGAAGAAACTGACCAGAATCTACGATGAATAGCCTTAAAAATGGATGTAAAATAGCATTACAAAAAACATGCCAAAATCTGTGATGGATATACATTAAAATTGATGAAAAATGTAATTGCAAAAATTGGTTAAAATTGTAATGGATAGCTTTCAAAATCGATGAATAATAGATTTTGACCTATTTTTTAAAATGCTATTATTCATCGATTTTGAAGGTTATCCATCACATATTTTGGCTGATTTTTTTCAATAATATTAGTCTTTGATTTTGAAGCTATCCATCACAGATTTTAACTGATATTTTATAATGAAATTATTCATCAATTTTGCAGGCTATCCATTACAAATTTAAGCACCAATTTTGCATGATTTCTTCCTGGTCGGCTGGTCCATTTTGGCATATTCCAAAGGTGTATCAACACAAATTTCAAGCAATTTTTCCGAAATGTCATTTTCTTACAATTCCACCCGAGACTATTCTCCACCAATGATGAAGGTTATTGATTCAATTTTCCACCTATCATTAAGTCCATTAAACACCAATTTGGGTGCATCTATTTTCGATTCCATTTTCGTAATTTTTTTGGAATTTTTTTTCGAAAGGCCACTTTCCTTGCATTTGGAAAGCTAGAGATCACAGATTCAATCTGAGACTATTTTTCACCGATGATTAAGTTCATTAAGCACTGATTTGGGTTGATTTCTTCCGGGTCCATTTTTGGCAGATTCCAAAGGGCACCATCATAGATTCGGCCAGAGGCTATTGTTCACCAATGAGGAAGTCTATTGATTCTATTCTCCACCAACGATTAAGTCCATCAAATACCAATTTGTGCGGATTTATTTTCGCGTGACATGTCGTAATTTTTTGGACCTTTTTTTTTTTTTTTGAAAAACCATTTTCTTTGATTTTGATAGCTACAAATGACATATTAGGCCTGTGAATATTTTTCACCGATGACTAAGTCCATTAACCTCCAATTTTGGGCGGATTTCTTCCGGATCCATTTTTGGCATATTCCAAAGGGGTACATTACAGATTTTTCAAAAATGTCATTTTCTTTTGATTTTGAAAGCTATATATCACGGATTAGACTTGAGACTATTCTCCACCGATTATTAAGTCCATTAAGCACCGATTTGGGTCGATTTATTTTCGGATGACATTTTCTTAATTCTTTGGGCAATTTTTCCCGAAATGCCCTTTTTCTCATGATTATGCCTTATGCTCCTTAGACTGTTTTTCATCAATTATTAAGTTCGTTAAGCACCGATTTGGACGACTTTATTCCGAGAACATTTTTGGCATATTCCAAAATGGGTTACCATCACAGATTTCTGACTATTTTTCCGTAATGCATTTTCTTTCTATTTTGAAGACTATAGATCACGAATTTTTAGAAAAAAATAATATAATCCAATAAAGGAAACACTAGTTAAAAGAAAACACATATACACGTGTACCCGTCCCGTGGAAGAACAGTCACAAAGGCCTTCCTTGCTCTTCTATTCACCAAAATTTACTATCTACCCACATTCTGTACATACTTTCACCTAGATGTAAGGAGAAAAAACCACAACTAGGGGGGGTCAAAATGTAAAAAGAAGCCTTTCACATAACTGCAACAAATAACCCAATATACAACTGTGAAGAAACAAATGAACCAGTAACGCATTACTCGTGGTACGGCTGTTAAATCAGTAGGCTGAAGCATGTGTTTATGCTTCCTCAATCGTTTGATCAGTGCGAAACAGAACTTGAGTCAATCGTCGCTGCTCGCTTTTCGTTGCATCTCAGGTGCATCACGATCATTCGATCGCAAATCAAACAACCCAGGAGGCACAAGCACTGTAATTCCACCTCCATCATTCAGTAGGATAGCTGGATTGTACTTGTGTGGCTTAACATGTGTGTATGAACTGCCAAGCGGCAAGCTTTCTTCTCCCCAGCTACTCAGCTATTGCTGCCGAATTGGGTAGTTGTATGTATATGATTTCGGTCTCTCAATCTCCCAAACTGACGTTTCCTGCATCAAATTGTTTCATTCTCTGACAACTCAGGCAGACTGCGGGAAATGGAAGTACATAAAGAGATGGAGCAAGAGACGGGAGTTCAGAGCTTTACCTCATCGAGTTGCAAGTAGCTCATTCCAATATCGAGTCCAATCTCTGCTTCCTCGTTCTCAATCTCTGCATCGGTGATGGTGAGGGCACGTTGTAGCTTCTTGGGACAGAACACCTCGACCTCAACCATGAATGTGGCAGTCACTGGTCGATGGTCGGAGAACTTTAGCTCGGTTCTCCTATAGTTCAAGAGCCTGAATCCTTTCCCATGCGAAAGAATGCGGTCACACCTGAGAAATCAAGCAACCCTCAGCATTTTTGGCTTTGTACTACAAACAAATGTGCGACAAAAAAAGTTCGAGGAGCTATGTATTACCATGCAGGAGTACGCCTCCTAGCCTTTGGATCCTCTCCGTAGTATCTATCCGAGTTGAGTTCGTACTTGTATGTTGGCGGAAAGCCTAGTTTACCTTCTCGCCATCCATCAAATGCACGGCCTTTTCTAAGTTCTTTTGTGAGCTGCCATGAAAAATCGACTGAGTTCATGAGAACGAAGTAACTTAGAATCCTATACCTTTTTTTTCATACAATGAAATGATTGTTACCTGGTCGTATTCAGCTAGTTTTGACCACTCCTTTCTGGCAATAAGTTCCCGTGTTCTATCATATGACAAATTGATACGGTAATTGAGATCCCCCAGCCATATAACTCTTCTGCAAAAGATACAAGATATTCAAAGCAGAGATGTTAAAACGAACAACATCGTGCTTCTTTCATTACTCCCAAGTTAAGTGGTATGGAAGTAGACCAAGAAAGAGATATTTGATCAACCATAAAGGTGCATCAGCATAAGGATATGGTGTATTCTAATTATGGCATTGAGCAAACATAATCAGCATTATCATAATTAGATGTAGGTATACTCACTCGTGATCATTGATGCTTTTAGGAAGCCCAATCCCTGAAACAGAATGGAAATGTGTTCTTCTGTGTATTTCATACACATCAGCATTTCTTTTGAGCTCATCTCCATCCTTTTCGCCAGAGGTCAGGTGGGAACAAACGAAGCAGAAAGGCGTCTGGTATACAGACATGCTCACTGATACTGATCCCTGCATGATTGAATAAGAACATTCAAGATTTCCATGGGAAAAAAGATCATAAAGCACAATGCATAAAATATAATAAGTTCATTAATAAACAATGACTATACAGGAGAAGAAATTCTGGGAAATTTTGAAGGCAAGAGAGGAACTGACCTTGTTGCCAATATAGCCCATAACACCAACACCGACTGTCGAAACTTTGACATTCTGAATATGCTTGCGCAAGCTCCTACGAACCCATATAGTGACGAACACTCCAACCATTTTCTTACTAACTATCCTCACATAAGAAGATCTTCTCTTACGTTTCAAGAGCGATTCCAGGTCAATCTCGGTGAGCAAAGCCAACTCTGATTTCATATCATTTTCCACAGACTTGAAAGAGTTGTATCTTCCAAAGGACTTGGTCGCAGTAAACGATTTTATTGATTTGAAGGAGCCTGGTCTCTGTAAACCATGTTGAGACAGCAGGTTCAGTGGTTGCTCGGGCCAACTCAAACCAATCCTTTCAGAACCACTTAGCACTCTAGTCAATATTCTACATTGTTGTTGCTGGTGTACCCCAGATTCCTCTAAATTTTCTGGTGATTCATCCTCGTCGGGAATGCAATTCATTCGATCTAATCTCCTTTGAGAAGTTTGCCTTTCCAGGTCCACTTCTTCATCTATGGTACCCATGTGCCCATCGCAAAAGCGTAACTTATCTTTCGTTTCATCAATGTCATAGAAATCATCATCCAAAGGATGAACTTCCTCTCCGAAATCACTATTGCTTTCGAGTATAAGCTCTTCTTCAACACCTGGAACCTCATCAGATGGATAAAATTTTGATGGAGATGCTGGATCACTATAGCATTTAACCTTTGTCTTCATCGGTCTAATTCTGTTTAGAGTGTCCCGTATAATATTTTCCCACTTAGTGACTGGCCTATTATCTTCAGCGCCAAAGATATTCCCAGCATTCAATGGTACAATTTCCTGAAGCCTGAGAGAGAGAGAGAGAGAGAGAGGTAAAGCAACACCGTACATGATGACATATAAAGAATGGAATCTTATGTTTAAGAAGGTAAAAACACAATAGATCTAGTAGATTTGCCTCGAGAGACGAGCCTCTGGTAGCTTGAGTAAGAAGTATCATTCAATGAAACAGATTCCAACACTTATCTATGCACAAGCTAAAAGATCAGAAGAAATACAAATACAAATCCAGGAAAAAAGAAGCAACTAACCCGAGTACATATATATCTGCAGGGTCATGAGTATTAACCCAATCATCAATATCCAGATCATCTGGTGGTAATTTGCCTCCAACATTCCATGTAGCAACTCGTACTCTGCCAAGGAAAAGATACAACATCAAGCACTAAACTTGGAAACAGAAAGCCCTAAAAACAATTTTCAGAATTTAAAGTGATTCAATCTTTGTAGTTTGCATTGCCATGTTTAAAAGGAAAGAGAAATTGGACCTGAGCTCCTTCGTATTTATGTACTGTGCCCTAAAAGTCTCTGACTTCCGTCTCCTTGACCTCGGAAGTGCATCTGAAAATCAAAATACAATGATTTTTAGAACAAACTCTTTCAAGTAAACCCCAGAACAAGGGAGGCAGAAACTGAAACGAAAACCTTGGTTCTAATGTTAAAATATTGACATCTCAGAAGTAGATGAAGTAAGAGACTTTCTGATTCTCACAGTGGTTTGCAGTGCACCCAACAAAAACTTAATCACTAAGTCCAGAAACAATGCATTAACTGACCAATCCAAGGCATTCTAAATTGGGAGAGTAAATGACTTTAAGCCTTTAACTTTTTACACTAGTATATCATCAAAACAAGAACTAGCCACAATGATAGCCCCAAATCCCTGCAAGTAGTATGTTCTCAGTAAACAAATGAGAAAAAGAAATAGGAAGTCGGGCCGGTCACACCAGCTAATACAAGTTCTTCAATCTCCTGAAAGTGCCTCCCACGTCTCCAACTATACATATGATCATTAAATTAATGATACAGGTCCGTTCACTACACCACCTTTACATAATTCCACGTGCTAGTCAAGACCCAAAACATTCTCTGGTTATGGAACTCGGTCCAACTCCTAATTCATCATGGCAGATCCAGTTCTTGAACTGATCATCCATTTCTACAGAAAAGTTCTACCTAGTTGACCCTTTACAGTTTCAACCCTAAATCCTATTGGATTGCGGATTGATAATTACAATAAGCTTGCAGTAATTGTTGACTGAAACAGAACCATGATGCACCAATAGGTTGAAAGAGAGTAAACAATTAACAGATGACGTTCTAGCTTAATTAGCAGCCAAAGGAACCAAAAAAATTAAATAGGAAACGAGTGAAAAGAAACAAAATGGGAAGGTAAAAAAGCCAAAAAAGGCTAAAATTGGAATTGTGGAAGCATACCACTGGGATCAATCTGGGCGTCGTCTTCCCTATTGTCAGGCTCAAACCTCGACGCGGCTCTGCTTCTTCCTTGACCAATCTCTGCAAATCGAGAACCAGTAATGAAACAAGCTCTCGGAGCGGAATGATAAATGGGAGGGCGGCAATTGATTCACAGGCCGGGGAAATCGAGGGTTTACCTTCGCAATCGGAAGGAGGATCGGAGTCGGAGCCGGAGCAGGAGTCGGAGTCGGCGCTGTAATCGGAGTCCTTGGCGGTGATGTTGAGAAGCTTGCGAACGACGACACGCGGCCAGAAGAGCTGTAGGCACCAACAAGCGAAACAACTAGACGGTTCAGCCCTACTTCTCTGCCGCCGCTCCCCGGAATTCCAATCTCAGTTACAGAACTCCATTGAAACCAAAAAGAAACACATAGAGAGAAGAAGGAAGAGGGAAGAAGGAGAGTGGGAGTGGTGAATTTACCTCCGGGATTTGTTTGGAGCGGGGCTTCATGACTTCAGCAGCTGCATCAACTGATGATGAAGAGAGCTTTCGCTTAGTTCTCATTTCGGAAGGAATGTGATAATGGAAGCGTGGATTACTATTTTGGCTACGTAGCAGAGGTTGGAACTTGGAAGAGAGCGGAGAGTTGCAGAGAAAATGGAGGGAAGAAGAAGAAGAAGAGAAGGAAATAAATGGGGGAAGCTGGAATAAGAAATTTTTGGTACCAAACAGTTTAAAGACTGCTGACTTACACGCTTACTTGGTTCTTTGGCAATCAAATTAATTCTTACCGAATTAAACCAAATAAATTATCCTGAATCCTGATTAGTTGTTTCATGAATTAAAAAAAATTGATAGTAATAACTCAAGTTGTTGAGAAAATATGAATTTTAATCACTCAACTTGAGAAAATATAAATTTTAATCACTTTTTTTACACGCTTTTAGAATGAATTAGTTTGACTACCTTCTAAGGGGTCAGAAATATTATACCCCTATTCATTATAGTTATTTTGGATATTAAATTTATGTTGCATATAATTATCTTTGAAAATTAAAAATTCATATTAATTACATTCCTTTTTTCAACTATCATTGTACTAATACACCTACATTAATATGAGTTTTTAATTCCCACGATCTCTCAAACAAAAGCTACCTCATGTGTTTGAAATTTGTAAATGCTGGTCATACCATATGTTTTAAGATAATGGTTAATGTCAGAGACTGTATTAGGTTGAGTATGTGACCTCGAGAAAAAAAAGTAGCTATGATATTATGTCAAGAACAAGTCGTGTCGGACAATCGCTCCAATCTGACTGTTCTTTGAATTCGAATAATCTAACTTAATATGAGTTTTTAATTCCCACGATCTCTCAAACAAAAGCTACCTCATGCGTTTGAAATTTGTAAATGCTGGTCATACCATATGTTTTAAGATAATGGTTAATGTCAGAGACTGTATTAGGTTGAGTATGTGACCTCGAGAAAAAAAGTAGCTATGATATTATGTCAAGAACAAGTCGTGTCGGACAATCGCTCCAATCTGGCTGTTCTTTGAATTCGAATAATCTAACTTGATGAATTCGACCTATATTATCAAACTCGACTGTAACTTTTTCTATCTCTTGCTCCTCCAACAAGCCGCAACATGACAGCCAAATTTCTCACTAGTCACTACTCAAGTGTTTCATCGAATATTGTAAAACCATATCGGAAGTTGTACCCAAAAAGTCAACGACATGGTACTTTATGTTGAACTCGTGATTTACCCATTGTCCAACCGTTTGATACTGCTAAAAACCATCTATCAATTTAGAATCCAATAAAGAATTTTCCGATCAAATTACCGATACGGTACTATTTTATCACATATACCTAATGCATCCAAACGAACTCTTTTGTGAATGAACAACTCATAAATACTGAAAACGAGGACCATATAGTACATATCCAAGATATTGTAGGACCACATAGTGTACTTGTCCAGATCGCCGCCGCTGACCGCTAACAGTTATTCTTAACCCACCCAACCGTCGAAAATAGATTAAAACTCTGCGGCGGCGGCGGAGGAGGAAGAGCCACCGCGGCGACCGCCGCCGGCCGTGGCAGCCAAAGGGGACGTGACGACAACCACACGTTTTCTCATCATATTTTTTTAAAGAAAATTTCCAAACGAACTGACGAAGGAAGCACTCTCACGATAAAAATGATAAATGCTTTCACCTGAGTGGTGCCTCGTTAATCACGAGATTATGTCAAATCATAATTAACAATTATTAATGATGATGTTAAGTGATAACCACGACTTTGCAATGGTGAGACCAAGAAAAATAGCCTAAACTAGTGCTTGGCGGCCTTGTGGCGATAGAGTTTTGCCAAAAAGTTTGATTGTGAAAACTCAAGACTTTGATATGATGTGTAAATATATTTAATTAGGCGAGATCGGTGACCATAGAGATTTTGAATTATGTGTAAAACAAGCATCGTTCGAACTTAGTTATTCGGATTTCACTCTAATGGTCAAGTTAGACATGTTCTAAAGGTAATTTGAGTACGACTTGATTGCGTGTGGGTCGTGATTTGAGGATGGGAGTTTTCTTATATGTGGATGAAGGATATCTACGACTAACTTCTGACGGGTTGGATCCGGTCCTTAAACCTCATTGTTTAAGGAGGTTCTTAAACTATTTTTATTGGCTGATACTAGATTAGGTAGTTAATGAGGGGTTAGTAGTTAATAGTTAGTTGGAATAAATAAGATATTATGAAAATATAATTAATATTACTCATTAATGATTCTCTTTCTCTCTCCCCTTGATCTTCTTCATAACCCTCTCTCTCCACTACAATTAAAAGGAAATTCGAAATTAATTTAATTAAATATTATTATTTAATATTTAATAAATTTGAACTTAATATTTTTTATTTTTTAAAATTAAAATTGAAAATTGAAAATTAAAAATATATACTCTCTCTCACTTCGTGGCATTTTTTTGAATGTCGTGTTAACATTTTGCAATGACATTATCAATATTTATGAAATGAATCGTTATTATTATACCTCATCATTATTAACGACTTCAATATACTTATCAATTCCTTACAATTACATTATTAACAATTTTGGATCAATTGTTACTGTTTTATAGTTTCGTCATCAACGCCTATGAATGAATCATTAAAGTTATGTAACATGGTCATTAACAGTTAGAAATATAACAATATCATTGATTTACAACATCTTTAATTAACATTTTCACATCATGTTTATAACTATCTAGTCATGGCCTCTTCCAATAATGATTTCTAATGACATTATTAACGTTTTATGATCAATTAATATTGCTTTACATTATCATTCTCAATGACCATAAAGCACAATACTGATTTTCAACATCTTGGGTACTTGTGACATAGTGCACCTGTGTGATTCAGTCAAACAAACATTGTCCAGAAAAATATTAGCTCAAGTAAACCAACATTCACGCCTCAACACCAAATTTTTAATAGCAATACAATAAATCATTGATAACGAAAATTATTTCATTGAAAATAAACTCAAAACATCAATGTAAAAATGTCCGACTTCAACATTATAAATGACATCAAACTTTTAACAAAGATATTAAAAACCATTAATATTGAATGATCAAGTCACTGATAAGGAAATAGATTTTGTAATAACAAAATTATTAATAATATTCAGATGCAATGTTTAATGTCAAATAGCACTAAAAACGCATTAATAAGTAACATGTGTTTAATGAATAATGCATTAAAAATCGTTGATAATGATAGCAACTAATGATTGTTAAGTACCTTATTAGATATTATTAATATCTTATTTTTCAAACATTGATAATGCTTATACACACCTATTAATAATGACACCAAATACGTTACTAACTTAGACTGAAAGATTAATAACCATAGTTATATCATTAAACGTAAATTCACTTTTGCTAATGTCATAAACAAATGAATTCCTAACAAGTATGCTTCTTGATAATGACATTTGACAAAGTTACAAACATAAACGAAAAAATATTAATAATTCAAATCACTAAACATAAGCAATCTTACAAATGAAATAAATGTTTGCTAATGCTTGTATTGTGCTTGAAAAAATAAACATCGATAATAGCACTTGAAATGATTATAAAGCATTGCGAACCAAATTGATAATACGATGTAATAGTAAATAAACTTCAAGTACCAATAAATTGAAAACACAATTTCACTTTTGCTAATGTTACAAATAAAACATAACATAAAAAGTTAATAATGTCATATAAAATTATTAAAAAACATGTCGAACAACATTAATAATAACACAAACGAATACATAACAACGAAAAATCACAAACCCATGCAACGAAAAGCCCTAATGATGATTCAATTTATAAATATTGATAATGTCATTACAAAACGTTAATACTTAATACTAATCGGAATTTTCCAAGATGTGAGAGAGACATCTATTTTAAATTTCAAATTTCCATTTTAGAAAAAGAAAATTATTAAATTTGGATTTTATTAAATATTAAATAAAATTAATTTCATATTTCTTTTTAATTATAATGTAAAGAGAGGGTTATGGAGAAAATCATGGGAGTAGAGAGAAAGAGAATCATTAATTAATTATATTTGCATACTCCATTTACTCTTAAATACCTATTAACTACTAACCTCCATTAACTACTTAATCCACTACAAGCCAATAGAAAGGCTTTAAGATTCTCCTTAAGAAATGAGGCTTAAGGACTTGAACTCAAGCCAACTTCTGATGTGTAACAGATGATGGGGATTCTTAGGTCTTTTAAAGCTCGTTACGTCTTTTTAATTGTTGTTAAGGATTGATTGTGCCAAAATGCATTACATGTTCTAAGCATATTAGCATAAATTCACAAAATTAATTGCCTCAAGTGATCATCTCTTCTATCACTTACCGTCTTCACATCGGAAAACACCTCACATGTCTCTAAACAATCCGACCTGGGGCCTTTCTAGGTAATGTCTCTTATCTTATGATTGAGTTCCTAGGCATTTGCCCCTGAAACCTGATTTAGTTCATCGTCTAAGACGCTTATCTCATTGGTAAGACGACTTGGAGTACTCATACAGGTCACATGGACCAACAAACTGTGAGGAAATCCTAGATCCACTAAACGATTCTAGGGGGGTCATTTGGGCATCGAGTCTAGTGTTGACAGTGATTCTCCTTCAATGTAAATCTTTGAATATGAATTTTCACGAACGCGATCTCGATGTGCAAGCTGTAATAGTTACAAAATCTCATGACTTCTTACTGGAAAAAAAATAAATAAATTGAGCCACGTATAGTTATAAAAAATAACTGAAATGTTAATTTGTTAATCCAATAAAGTACATAATTTTTACCCTAATTTTTTTCTATTTTAATTTTGTAGTACCATTGCCTATCCTCAATTATATTTTGTAGTTGGAGTATAGATACCGTTTGTCGACCATTCAATGGACACACCATTTTCTTCCGACCGCTAGTTTCTCAGCCCAAAAATTAAGAAGCTTGGCACATGCTCGCTTTCTCAATGCATGAACCCTAGAACCTAATATAGAACTCCTTTATTCCTTAAA